TACTTAATTTACTAACATACAGACATATATATATATATATATATATATATATATATATATATACTCCTGTCGTCCACAAAAAACCTCAAAAAGATGGCACTACTAGTCATGCAAATGAAAATATATGATGTTCGTCATATATTTTCCTAATATAATAGAACAAATGGCTTACACCTGAAAAATGTTCTTTATTTTTTGTAGAATTTTAGCTTATAGTACAATTAATAAAAACTGTCGTTTTAGATTTTTAACGCCATTTTTCTTGACATAAGAATTCTTTAGTTTAATATCACGTAAAGGAATGGGAAATCGAGATGGGTAACTTTATAAACTCAGTAAGTTGTAATGGGATTATCTTATTTAGTGAACGATTCTCATATTAGTTAAAATATGTTCATTAAAAAAACGAAAACAACAAACAAGCAGTAGAAAGTTATGGATAAAGTGACTAAGCATTTTACTTGGAAAACCAAAAACGAAATATATATGTATATGTATGTGTATTTTATACATCAATGCCAAAGTTTCTATAAATACGTGTCTGTCATTGCCACTTCCAGCTTCGTAATATAACAAACTTATTAAATTAAAACCACACTGTCTAGTTGCTCTGCGCTGGATATGATTAATAAAGAAGGATTAATATTAGTAAAGGGAATATCCATCAGGCAATTTGGTATGGAGAGAGGAAAACTAATCTTATGTGGTTGTAGACCAAATAAAATATTTATTTCTCTTTTATCATTTAATTATAATAAATATTAAAAACATGGTAATACCAGTATATATATATATATATATATATATATTAAATTACAGAAGTTTCATCATCAGCATTAATACCTCAAAAATGTTAGTTCGCAATACTCTAACTACAAAACTCAATATTGACTATTCAGCGAGTCGTTTTTTTATACAATCAAAGTTTAGATAAAACATAGATTTCAACGTTAACAATATAATAATAATTTTACTTTTCACAAGACATTAGTATTAGGCTTATTACTTTTTTAAACACTACATTCTTAATGCAGTCCCTTCGAGATTTTCAAGAAATAGAAGAGTATATGATATGTACTAGTATTTCAACCACACAATATTTGTCATCCTTTGCCGACGACGTTTTTCGCTCAAACCAGCGCTCTTCAGGCCAGCTGGGATACAACAAATACAACAATATAATGGAATTTACGATAAAATGTGCGGCATACATAAGTTTAATAATAATGTTAAAATAAAACATTGTAAAGAAGGGCTTAAATATTACCTGATAAATCCATTTACTTACTTATTGGAATAAAGGCATTTGCGACTGAGCCTGCTATATCTTATTTTAGGTATATAGAGAATATCTTTTTTTTTTCTCCAAACAAAAGTAATTTTTACTCCTCATTCTTTTATTTATATACATTTATAAAGACACTTTACACCACGTACTATATGGCTTTTTCACAACCGTTTATTCATTTATATATATATATACATATGTATGTGTGTAGATATAGTCTTAAAACTTTTATTTAATTTATGAGGAACAAATTTTTAATCACATTTCTGGTACAGCAATGAGCACAAAAGTTGCTCCAACTTATGTTAGTACCATTATGTGTTTGTTTGTTTGAAGTTAAGCACAAAGCTATACAATGGGCTATCAGTGCTCTGCCCACCACTGGTATCGAAACCGGGTTTCTAGCGTTGTAAGTCCGCAGACAATACCGCTATGCCACTGGGGGGCACCACTATGTGATTTTTCGAATTACAGTTATTTAATATTCTACCTAATTATTTTGAAGATAATTTTGTAGTTCACGCAGAAACTTTTTGGAAAAGATTTTTAGATGATTGTTTTGTAATATGGAAAGATATTCAAGATATTGATAAGTTTGTTGGGATTTTAAGTTCAATAAACTAGGAAACTAGGTTTACCTTTGAAAGAAATAATAAAGCCATGTCCTTTTTAAGATGTATTGGTAAGTGTTTCACCAGAAAAGGAAATTGTAAGTGACATTTTTTATAAACCCATAAATTCACCTCAATATGTCGATTTTTTTAGTAATTGTTCCAAACATATAAATCTTGCAAGAATATTATATTGTTTGATTTCCGATGAAAAAACTAGAGTTAACATGTTATTAGAACTAAAAAAATATTTTAGTTCGAAGTCATAATCTGGCAAAGGTTATACTGAAAACTTTTGGAATTGCTAAGAATAAAATTTCAATAAAAAACACTTAAACAGAGAGATTAGCAAACCTGAAGATAACAGTATACCTTTTGTTGTGACTCATTGTCCAAATATATAATAGATATTTCTTTTGTTTCAATAAAAAACACTTAAACAGAGAGATTAGCAAACCTGAAGATAACAGTATACCTTTTGTTGTGACTCATTGTCCAAATATATAATAGATATTTCTTTTGTTAATACACAATTAAATCAAATAGTAGTTAAAAAAAGCTGAAAGATGTATTCAAAGATAATATAATTATCTTCTCAAGAAGATGACATGAAATTTGTATAAATTATTGAATAAACCTAGAGAAAGAGATTTTTCTAAAGAAAGTATTTTCAGTTGTGAAAGAATAAACGGTGCTTTATGTAACTTAGGTTACGTGAAGACTATCAAAACAATAAAGAACACTAATAAGAAATTTTGTTTTTCATTAATAATTAATTTAGTTGCAATCCTAAGATCATAATATATCTTTTAGAACGTCTAAATTGTGGTGAATTCTATATGTTGGTGAAACAGATAATTTAAGATAAATTTACATAAATTCCGCGTTAGATGTCCCGAAAAAGCCCACTATATGTCAGTGTATTTTTAGAGCAATTTTTAACTCTTAAAGAACCACATTTTTCTGTTTTTCCTTTTTAAGCAAGTAATGCAAAACATAAAAAAAATATTTTTCAACAAATATTTTATAATTTTTTTTGAAGCCACTTTAAATAAAGAGAAGTAGTAAGAGGGCAGAAGTAACTGGTTGTATAAGGTCAGTATAGACAATAAAATAAGTAAGAGGTATGAAATTATGGAATAAATAAATTGCATTTCTATAATAACAGGAGAAAGTATAATTATAACAAGATTTTGATTTAAAGAGGAAAGTATATTTGATAAACTTCAGCTTACTATATTTATTTTAAGCATTTTTAATACACTTAATTTATACATTGAGTGTATTATGCGTTTGTACATTTGGAATATATGTGTATTATAAATTCTTAGTAAAAATTTATCCTGAAGATTGATCTTTAAAGTCACGAAACCGGTTGAAGAAATTGATAAAGGAGAGAAAAAATAGAATAGCCTGATATTCCAGTGTTTTCTTATATACGTATATATATCATAGAGTGCGCTCTTGCTCGTTATGTTATGGTACTTTCTGCAACTGGAATGTGGTGTAGTTTGTAACTTGTAAACTAAATTTGTAGGTAAGCTTACAGGTTTATTAAGTAACTAGTATGAACTTTAATTCTTAACTTTCGTAATAAGTATTACGAAATCATATAACACAATCTAAAATTCTTCATGGTTAAAAAAATAGCAAAAAATAACAGACTCGGTTACTAGGTGTGGGCGTAACACTAGCAGTAGCAGTAGCATAAGCCATAAGGGTAAAGCCGCCTAATATATATATATATAGCGCATTTATGATTTAGCGGTTACGCTGAAATGGGCGTAATTTTATTTTTATTACATTTTGCAGACTTTTAGGAGTAATAAGGACAAGCTACAAATACTCCGTTGATTTGTAAGTACAGCTTGTATTTACAATAAATCCTCGCAACTTAAGAAAACCTCGGAATTTATCGTCTGATAAAATGCCGACCTGTCACTTAGTGCTCGACACGCCTTCTTACGGTATAGTGTGTATATTTTAATTTTTTTATTAATTTAATAATTGTAATACTGGATATTTGAATGTCTCTGCTTAATTAAATAAAGAACGCTTATTTCCTCATTCTTACTATATTGTGATTTCACACTTTATTATATATCATAGTTACTTATCTTCTGTATTCATCCAGTATTCCATTCAAGCATGTCACTTGTAAATTGAATATATCATTGTACACATAATATGATGGCACAAATTCTTCAATGATCAACAGAATTGTTGAACAATAAATTTCAAGCATGTTGAGAATTAGGTGCATCACATTTTAATTGTTAGACTATTAATTTTAGTTAAATACATTGGCTTCTTTGTTAGGACCCCCAAAACATATTTATAGAATACTCCATTTAATTAAATATTCAGAATAGACTGATTATTTTGTGTGCCAGATAGTTGCTTAAGTCCTACAAATAAATGTGAAGATTTTGTGAGATAATGGTAGTTTGCAAAATAATTGATTAACACAAACATCTCTTGACATTCAAAAACTGAGATTGTGGGAGTGGTTTTATCAAAGGTTATTTCATTGTTGGTTGTCAGCAGCAGCAGTTAAAAGGAATATGTCTGTCACAAAGAAAAGTTATGACTACCAACTGCTGGTGATCAATTGAAAGAAATTACAATTCTATAAGCGAGTAAGCTGCAAAATATGTCACAGTTTGTCCAGCTGATCAATTTTTTTCAACAGTTTCCAATGGTATCAAGCAAAGGATATTTCATAAACTTTCCTAAAGATCCAAAAACCATTTTAATAACTTTGTATCTTAGTTGTTGACAGAACAATGACTACCTGGAATCTGATCTGATGAGTTATGTTCCACACTTTGCTGTATTGACAATAGAGTAAAAATATGGAGAAAGATTCCATGAAGTACTTAACCCTATGTGTGTTGTTTGAACATTACAGTTCCAACCAAGAATTGCAGTTTCAAGCCTTGTCAGCCCTCATCAACCCAATTAGGCTGGTGGACAAAGACTGTCGCACAGTGGAGATTTTAGTGAAATTAGGTGTGGAAAATGGATTGGTCCTATATATAGAGGGAAATCTGAGTTACCTCAAAATCTTCAAGAGCAAAAAGAGTGTGCATGCTCATTAAACTACAGCAGTTACTGTTAATGTTTTTGTTGAAATCAGTTGTAGAGTTAATAAAGAATAAAGTGCCTGGTTTTAAAAAGCCAACTTTCTGAAACTATAAAATACTATGAAAGACCAGGTAGCTAGTCTAAACAGCAATATTTATGAATTTAATGATAATAGTAAAATTCTGAGAGGAGTTGCTTCTACTGAGATGCTTCTCTGATTCAAAAGAACAGTCTTAGTGGATGCCCTGAGTATGTAAAATTAGTTTTATTATTGAGAAGTATATAGCTATGAATATGGGGTATAGACATTTGGAAAGGACATGCACATGTTTATGTATATGAGTGAAAACAGCATCTGTATTGTTCTAAAAGAAGAGCAAATGTTGACATAACTTTAAAACATTCTGCTGTAGTTTTATCTGTGATATAAAAAATCAAATAGAAATCTTGGCTCTATTCAGTCGTTAAGGTTGTTGTTACTTTGTATAAAACTAGTGAGACCCTCTTTTCGAGTACTTAATGTAGTTTTAGTCCCATTACTAAATAATGGATATCAACATACTGAAAAGAGTTCAGACATTAAATATTAGACTGTTATTTATTTCATGAGGTTTAAGCTATAAGGAGAGGCTCAAATCTTCAGCCTTATTTTGGCTGTTACTTTAGTTTGTTGTTTTGGCAGGAATGAACTCATTGGGTTTCAATGGGCTTCTGTGCCCTTCATTTGTTTTAAGTTATACAATAAATATGTTTAAGTGTGTGATATATAAAGTTTGCATTTAATGAACTTAATAAATACACAAAAAGACACCCATTTTCTTTGTTTTTATTATCAACAGTAAGGGTCATTTCAGCATAGTTTTGCCTGGTAGTTGAATACTTGATGTAACGTGACACACAATACTTTTGAGAAACCTCAAAACAACTTGAATACTAATAGGTTGCTCTCTATATGGCTGAAGTTCTATAAGCATTGATATAGGAAAAATGCAACTAACCCTTAAATTACCAACTTGCTTTGATATAATTTACTATCAATATGGTCCATATATTGCATATTATTAAGTCATTTTTATGTGTTTGACTGTTAAAATACTCAGCACAAAAAATTTTAAGAAAAATAGGATGAAATCAATATTTTCTGTGCAAAGTTCAAAGCAGACCACAGCAGTAATTAGTGGAATTACTTGTAGTATTGATGGTTCACTTGTTTTTTTTGTTTAAAAAACTTTGTGGCTCGTATTATTTTGGACCCTATAACCAAGCAAGTCATGAATCCATGAGCTATTTGGTACATAAGTAATTTAAAAAAATCAGTTTAGTCCATGTGGATCTCATCAGTTTTTGGATGTTATGACAAGGAACAACCTCATTTGCAAGTTATTAAACTGAATCTAAAGAACACCAGCTAATTTTCTAAAAGTATACATCCTGAAATAATAAGTATAATCCATATATGAAAGTTGTATATGCACAACTACACTTGATGTCTAGATTTTATTTTTACTTTCAAGCATATCAGCATAAAATTTATTTAATTAATGTATGCTAATTAATATTAATTCCAAACAGTTTAGGCCAAAAGAAAAATTCTAGTAGCTTGACTGCCCCAATTTTTTATTGGTTTTTCCTTAAAACAAAAAGAAATAAAGATCTCTATGAAGTGAACCATATATAATATTGACTGCTTATATTGTACTGATGTAATAAATGTAGACTTATATTAATAGGAAATACCCTGTGATTGTTGAAAAACACTGAATCCTGTCTTATACTTAATATTCATTATGTTGGAATTCTCCTACACCAATAGCTCAGCCAGAAAGTAAAATGTAAACAGCAATTTGGAGTCAATGGTTGCTATTCAGCAATGAAAATGCAGATACTTTGAAAGAAAGGTATGGAGTTGAATGTATATAATACAGTTGAAAATAGTTATGGAGTTGAATGCATATAACATAACATATAATATTTTGGAACAACATGGAACCTATTGGTCCATCTCGGCTGTTCCATCCTCAAAACTAGATTAAAATGATTTTAAAAAAATAAAATAAAAACATTTTAAACCCAGCCCTTTTCATTCTTATAATTATCAAGCTTTTTCTTAAACTCACTTAAAGTTACTGCCTCTACAACATCTGAAGGCAACCCATTCCAAAGGCCAACCACCTTTATAGAAAAAATAAAACTGCCTCAGGTGAAGATGACTCCTACCTTGCCAAAATTTATTTTTGTGTCCCCTAGTCCTACTATTCTCATTGTTAAATATAAAAAAGATGATATATCAACACTATCAATTCCCTTTACAATCTTAAACACCTCAGTCAGATCCCCCCCTAGCTTATCTTTTTTCAATAGAAAACAATTTGAGAGATTTCAGCCTCTCATCGTATGACAACCCTGCCATTCCAGGCACCATTCCATTAACCCTTCTCTGAACCCTTTCCAACAATTCAATGTCTTTCCTAAGGT